TATCTTGTATCACATAAATTAGCTCTAAGCTTCCTTAGACCGGCCTATCCGAGCTAACCGCTCAGGCTGGTCCACCGAGTTATTTTTCGTGCTATATCATCTAGCCCCCCCCACTCTAGACGAGCTTATAAATATAAGACTTGTCTAAGAGTAGAACAATCATGTCTCGCCCAAGTGTATATCATAGGACTACAACCTCGGAGTTCTACAGCCAACTGCATGAAAATATGACTCTTGGGCTAACTTTGCACTTTCATTGCCTTTTCTGCCACATTAAAACATTTGACATTCGCACTATCTACTCAAGTTGTAACAATGACTCCCATATCTACGACCTCACGGGCTGTACGAGCTAGGGCACCGCAACGACGAGCTAATTATCCTTGATCTAGCTACAAGTCAAAGGACCGCTGCCGAGCTCCAAGAACTCGAGCAACGCCACGACAGATTTTCACCCTAAGTTTGGCTACGAGTCTGAGGACCCGTTGCCGAATTCATAAACACAACAACACTAGTGAGCTTATAAACACAATAATTCTGCCAAGCTCATAAACATAATGATACTGCCGGGCAAAACGATACTATCGAGCTTATAACGACTATCCTGCCCTGACGCGACAGAAAGTTTAACTTCATGTCGGGCTAAGATAGGCTCGGTAATTGTTCGAATTGGACACCGCCGAGCCCCGCGAGCTCGAGCGATGTCTTCAGCAGGCTTTCGTCCTATCTCGACCGCCACCAAGCTCTGCAAGCTCTAGTGGTGTCCTCGACAACCACCAAGCTCTGCAAGCTCTAGTGATGTCTTCAACAGGCTCGAGTCCCACAGACGGCGCCAATTTGATGAGCCAAAAAGAATCGACTCGCCGAGATTGTTGGTCGAACCGCTTCATCTCATCTTGCGTGATAGTTCGACTGTTCGATCGCCTTGTCTTCAAAAACCGGATCGACCTGCAAAGCGCCGGGGCGAGACCCCGGCGTAGACACTCCGACGCTCAAGTCAGAAAACATATCTTTTGATAGTGTATTTGACGTAATCTCAAGAGCTTAAGTTTAGAAAATGAACCTGATCCCTTATTTATAAGAGTTTAATGACTTACTCCCCAAGATAATGAGTTTCCTCAATAAACAAGAATTCTGATACTACTCAATAACTGTGTAGATATACACTAACTTTCATGAATATCTTGTATCACATAAATTAGCTCTAAGCTTCCTTAGACCGGCCTATCCGAGCTAACCGCTCAGGCTGGTCCACCGAGTTATTTTTCGTGCTATATC